GAATCATTGTTGAATCTCAAAAATGTAGAAATAATTACTTTTTGGTTAATGATTTTTTTTGCTTTTCCTGTTAGCACACAAATTAAGATTTTTGCATTTTTCTTTACTTTTCCTAAAAGGTTTCGCCGTTACTTCTTCAACACATGATTTTATCCTGCACAAATAAAAGCACCACGCGGAAGGAAAGTCGACAAAAACGTTGAGTAAAATCCCTCGACAAAAATGTTGGGTAAAATCCCTCAACATGTTGAACACAACACAATTCACTAAGTAAATGCACGCGAGTGAACCACTCTTTGACTTCTTGATAATTGAGAAACACTTCAAAAATGAAAAAAAGGAATAATTGTAAATATAGGTAATAACTACGAAATCAATTCTGAAATCGCAATTACAAGCTACACACGCTACGTGTTGAATGCTACACTTGTAACTGATAAAACAAGAACGAGAAATAAAGCTCCTCCTCCACTTCCCCCCTCCTCCACCCGCGGAAAAATCGCCTCATTTATGAAAAATCCTCATTATTTTTTAGTTGGGTTTGTGAAGGCGATGGAATATGGGTAATTAAATTTGGGTAATAGAATTAATTATAATTATCGATGTTCATTCTAAGAATATGACTATAATAATATATTCATATTTTTCCAATTCATTAGTGCCTATAAAAAACAAAGAGGCATAAAACAGAGGCCCTGATAAATTGGCGGAAATTCTCATCCCTTTGGTGGCACACTTGCAACTCGCTCAGAATACATCGGCTCAAATACGTTCGGCAAAATTATTGGACGGTTTAAATTGTCAACCTAACCGCGTTCAGTGATGGCGCTGACGTACCTTTCCAATATTTTCGCCGCAGTAGATATTAATAACAGCTAACCGCAAAACTCGCTGTCTTCGCTTTACATCGCGAATTTTTAATAAACACAAGAAAAATCCTATGAAAAAAAATAAGTGAAAATTTCCATTTGACGCTAGCTATTATTTTATTCATTTTCTCACCGAATGACAGTATTGTGCTAATTGAAAATGGTGAATGTTTATCTGTAATTTCGAGATAACCCTACCTTAGGCGAGGGTTCAGAGGGGAGGCAAAATTGGTAGCCCCCTTTTTACGGCCCGAGCATTATATTATTAGTCGGGAAAATACTCCTAAAAAATAAATTAAAAAAAACTATTTGAGGCTAACTTGATGTCATTTTTAATTACCGCCATTTTTTATTATTCATAGCAAAAGGAAAATTGCAGATGGGTAGCCGCCATCTGCAGATACATATCTCTCGCGAAGGGCGACGAGGAGGGGGGAGGCGCACGCACCAACATCGGACCGTCCATGCGGGCCTTAAATACTTCAATTTGAGCTTGTATCCATGCCATAATTCAAATGGAGTTTTGTCTACTCTTAATACTTTCGTTGGACTTATATTAATCAAATAAGTAGCTGTTAAGACAGCTTCCCCCCAAAACTCTTTACTCATATCTGCACCGTTTATCATTGCACGTGCTCTCTCAGTTATTGTTCTGTTCATACGTTCGGCTACTCCATTTAACTGTGGAGTTCGCGGGACAGTTAAATAATAACGAATTTCTTTTTATACGCAGTATTCCTTCATCTCATTTGATAAATACTCGCGACCATTATAACAATACAAATTTACGATTTTCGAATTTAAATGAACTTCACTTTTAGCGACATAATTTTTGAAAACCGAGAAAACGTTTGACTTGTTTGTGATTAAATATGTTATACAATAATGAGTGAACTCATCAATAAATGTGAAATAATAATTTTTAACATTGACTGTAGGAGAGGTAATTGGCCTACACACATCTGTATGGACTATAAACAATGGTTTTTTTACGTGACTCTTATCTTTAGCTTTCTCAAATGACAATCGAGTTTGTTTACCATTTATACAAGCCTCGCATAAACTATCACTCCGATTTATTTCTTTCAAATACCACACATCTTGGGCCACTTGTTTATTTTTAAGCTCTAAAAATTTATGTTTCCCTATGTGGCCTAAACGTTGATGCCATAATTTATAATTATCACGATTTATATTGAAGGCTTGAAGGCTGTTGACTTTCTTCCTCTCGGTAATTTAAAAATCAGTAACTATCAAATTAGTTAAAGGCTTATGCATTAAGGTGTTACCATTTTTCTTTACTTACACTCCTTTCTCATCAAATGTGATACTCATCCCATTCTGTTGCATTTTTCTCACCGACAGCAAATTATAAGGCACCTCTGGACAGTAGAGGACGTCTTCAAGGGTACACTCAGTGCCTGTATTGGTTATCACGTTGATTTTCCCTTTCTTAGCTGCAGCGATGTACTCCCGATTCTTCGCAATGAAAATTTTCATGGGTGGGTTTAGCTCTGTTACACTGGAGAACATGTGGTCGACTTTAATAAGATGATCAGATGATCCCGAGTCTAGTAAAAAGGTCAATTTGTCGCTTTCAGTATTTTGGTATGTCCCTGTCATAAAAGCGAACCCCGATCTACTGTTCTCTGCCTCCATCTGCGTTGTGTTGACTGTGTGAAGTGTTCGGTTTCGTTCTGCCCAATGTCGCTGGCTCTTTTTCTAGAAATAGCAGTTAGCTATTTTATGACCTTTGCGGCCACACTGATGACACCTCAAAGGAGATGGCGTATGTCCCTTCGGTCTGAATCCTTCCCGAAAACGTGAGCTACTACGTCTCCTGATGAGCCTCTGTTATTGCGCCTGAAATTTCTCGCATTGTCAAAATGGTGCATTCGAACGATTCTCACAGCGAGTTTCTGTTACAGCTTGTAGCACTTTACCACTTGTATCCTCACCAGCGTTTTTCACTTTTAACTGATGATCAAGAAGTCTGGTCTTCACAAAATCCAATGTAATTTGATCTTCTGTCATTGTTTCGATCACTGTTGAGACAGTGTCAAAGGTAGTGGGAAGACTCATCAGTGAATACGACAACTTTTGGACTTCACTCACAGACACACCAGCCGCCGCTAGTTCTGTAATTAAATCATCGAACACTTCGACATGATATTTCGATATTGTATCACACTTCATCTTCAATCTACTTAATCGATTGCGAACGGACACTTCAGTTGCTGCGCATTTTCTCTCATAAATTTCATTCAGATTTTCCAAAATAGATTTCGCAGTACTGCCAGGCTCATCGTATTTGAGAAATGCATTTGATAAATGCTTCACGATTGCAGATCCAGCTTTTCGTTCAGCCTTTTGCCACTTCCTTGTCACTAGATTGGGACACTCTTCGTCAATCACGTAAAGAACTTCTTGTTCTCTCTATAAATTTCGAATCGGATGTTTCCAGGCGTTGTATTTACTGCCATCGAAGAATGGTATATTACTGTTATCTCTAGAACCACTCATTTTATCCT